GTTCTCTCCTTTTATATCTCAGCGCAGGTGTCCCCCCCCCCTCTCCCGCTCCCCACCTGGCGCCGCTGCGAGTACTCACGGTACCGTTCGGCCCGTGACGTCACTGCGGGGCCCCCTTCCCCCGCCCCCCGCCCGCGCGGCCTGCGTGACTGTGACGTCCGCTGCACGCGGCCTTCACTCGCATCAGGCAGCAGCCGAAGGCGTCGCTAGAGAAGGGCGTTTCTGCTGCTGTTTTTGTCGTTTGTGTGCGTAAAAGTTTTGGTCGCGGGATGAAAACGTGCGGGTGTGGCCAGGCGTGGCGGGGCGTGGCGGGGCGTGGCGGGGGAAGTGACTCCGCGCTCCACCCCTCCGGAGGGCCACGCCGCGCCGCGCCCCACCGCGCCCCTTCTGCGCCGCGTTGCGCCCTAGAGGCCCCCCTCAAGGTCAGAGTAGCGGGGCGGGGTGCGGCACAGAGGCTATCTGCGTCACCGGGATCCCCTGCCCTGTCCTGGCTGGCCGCATAGGGCGCTGTGCGGGGCGCGGCGGGGTAGGGCGGTGGTGGCGGCGTTAGCCCGGCGCCATCTCCGGGGAGGTGCCCCCTCCCCCCCTCAATCCCGCCCCCGCGGCACAGAAGAGGCCCAAACGGGCAAACGGGCCTATCCCGCCCCCACTCTCCCCCGCTGTCTCCCGTGTCCTTCAACTGAACCCGCCAGCTATACACCCTGGCTACTCGGGCATGGGGAGGAGGGAGGGGTGGGGGTAGGAAAAGGAAGCTGCTCAACTTTTTCTCTCTCCCTCTCGTTTCTCGTGCGTCCCATGTCACATTCTTTCCCAGTCACGCCCCCCTCTCTGTCACACAGTCACACGCCGCGAGCGACGTGACGTGACCGCCGTGTTGACCGTGTTGGTCGGAGCGGCGCGTCAGCTAGTGAGGCGTGACGGGGGCGTCGTGTGACGGGGCCGTCCTGTGACGGGGCGCGGCCAGGCCGGCCGATCTTTGATTGCTACACACTGTTGCGCTCCCACGAGGGGTGGCGGGGGTTGGGGTGATTTAATTAACAGCCGCGCTATGGTTCCGGTCGTTAAGAGCGGCAGCCGAGGGCAGCGCGGGGGGTGGAGGGGGCGGGCCATGGGCATTTACCCAAACCGAACGCTGCTACGCTCGGCTAGGCTGGATGCGTTCCAAAGGGGCCCAAAAGTTTTGGCCATGACCGAGAGTAGAATGCCAAGCAAGAACACAACAACAAAAGGTTCTTCGGGGTGGGCCCCCTTTTCGAAGGGAGAGATTCGGGGGCGAGAGGGGAGGGGGGGGGACGACCCTGAAAGTGGGATTTGCACTTGGGCGCCCAAGTGGCAATCAGCCTGGAGTGAGTGAGAGGGGGAGGGGGACAGGTGGGGGGAGGGACAAGGATAAACTGACCATAAGGCAAAGGGCGGGCAAGGTCACAGGGATAGGGTGCGCGCGGGGGCGTTCCGTTCGGAGGGGAGGGGGTTGTCGCCGTAAAAGGTGACGTTTAGTTCACTCGTCGGCGAACGGCGTTCGGAAACACGACCCTGATAAAGTTTACCACCGCGGCTAAAAGGCTAAAAGCTTGCAGTGCAAATGTTTGTAATTGTTGCACAATATTAGTCGTGCATCTTTCCTTGGTGAAACAGAAATGTCCTTTTCCATTCTGATGAAGAGTGTAGAGTTCTCCATATGGCGTGGTATGGTCTGTTCCTGAGAACAACGACCATATGGAGCCTAAACGCTTCGAGCAAGAAGTGCGAGTAGACACCATCCACCAACTCGCGTTGCAAAAGAAACGACATTGTTGTAGCCCCCCAGTGAAAACTTTTTAACTCAGAAATCCCAACATACAGTAGTAAGAAAAACTCGACTTACCGGAGTGGAATGTACGCAAAACATCCCCCGGGCCTTGCGCCCTACCACGATCCCCCCTCCCCCCCACCCCACCCCTGTTCAGCCCCGCACCAAACAAGGTGCTTCCCAAGGTCGCGCTCCCCGCTAAGGCATCCCCCAATTTATGCATACGGTCCAGCTGTGCTCGTGGACTGCTGAGCTGTGGGTATACGAGTTGTTCGTTTCGGTGAGATTACGCAGGCGTACTACTACACTACACGTTTGCTATGGCCGCGAAACTCACCCACGGACCAAAATATTTGCCCCCTTGATCCAGCCTCTCTACATCTCATCGCCCCGCCTCACGCCGCCCGGGGGGTGTGTGACGCAGGAGGGGCCTACGTGCCGCCCCCCGCAGGGCGCAGGCGGTTCCTGTTCCTCTTCCTCTTCCTGGGGCCCCCCCAACCCCCCTACCTCTCGCCCCCTCTCGTCTGCGTAAAAATTTGCACACTCGTCCTCCACACTCTCAGGTAAAGACTTTCGAGTAAACTCCTCGTGAGTCGCCCAG